CAGTGAGACAGCGTCTGTCCAAATGCAACTGGATGAAAGGCCGTCAGAACAATCCCACTTCTGACACCAAAATTTGTGTTGGATCCCGGGTTGCAGGATTAAGAACAACACTTTACTAAAGAGACTGGTGGTTTTATTCGATCGTTACGGCAAGTTCCGCACGTTAGTACAAACTACAGAGATCTGACCTGAGTCCAAAAATGTGCGTCGTTTATACATATATTTGAGGGTGACAATGGTGGCGTACGGAATGAGTAACCGGGTACAGGATGAGTAAGCGGGTACAGGAGGCTAGAAAGGCTGGAGTTTGGAACCTATGACTGGGATGTTTGTGTAAGGATGATTCTAGTGCGGTATCTATGTTGGCTTATGAGTTAGTCATACAACAATATAATGTCATCGAACACTGTGAAATGTCTCACTAGTGGTGTATCACTTTGTAATTTTAGTGTTAGTAGTCTTTTTCTTAATGCTAATTGAGTACCGAAGTTTTTCCGATTATAAATCGAGTCCAAATTTTGAATCACTTGTTTCGTACTACTGTTTGCTCCCGCAAAACTTAAAAAAGAGTCTGATAGATATTCAATAATTATATTCTTTGCAGTCCTATCTGCTTTTATCCATTCATCACTTAACATGTCCAGAACTTCGCCGTCGATAACACTAATCATGTTTAGTTCCGTTAACAACGCACGAATTCTAAATTTCCAGACACTATATTCCTCGCCATCAAATGGTTTAATGTTTCCCTTCATGTTTACACCTTCCTCTGATCCTTTAATATTTATAACGACTATACACTAAAATTACACTAATGATTATACTATCTGTTACGAGGTAACAACATTAATTACAGCGGGACCCATGTACGCCCGCCAAAAGGTCTAAAGAAACCCCCTGACCCGTAGCAAGAATAAGTTTATGAAGCCATCGACCATCGGTTGTCTTCCACGCCGTTTTATAATCCGCAATTTGGTTCTCTATTTTAGGCTTAAACATTTTTCAGTTTTATTTCGTCTTCCATGGCTTAGTAAGGTCAAGGCGCTTCATAAAAATTATTACCTGCTACGGTCGTGGCACGCGGAATTTCCCGGACGTTATTCGATGGTGCCCTCGGTACCTAACGGTGACCGATGGCTTGGAGGCGGTCACTTGTAATATGTTCAACAAATACTTCTCCAATCAGGGAAAACGACCGCCTTCCCTGACAGAATTCAAAACACCACAGCAGCCAATCCGCGTGCCTCATCCCCGTCAGAACCCAAGGCCGATTTGTATTTAAGGGTAGCTTTTCTGACGGGGAGAGAGATAACAACAAAAAGTTTGAATCGGTTAACATCATATATACATTTTTTAAACAAGAAACGTGAAGACCGCACTGTAGTAGAATAAGATAGATTATTAAATATTAAAAATAGTTAATTGTATCTCAATTATTACACCAACCACCAAATATTCAAGCGCTATTAAGTTACCGCTTGAAGCGCATCACAGCATCAGAAAAAGATAAGTGTGCGCCTTGAACACTATCGTTTATTATTCTAAGATACACACTAATATATATGTATATATACATATACTATATACATATATATACACACACACACAGCAATTATAGTTTTGCTTTTTAGTTTTTTGTTTTATTCCACACTACACACAGATAGCGTAAAAACTAAACTGAGCACCATAACCTATTGGAAATAGGTAGTGGAATAAAAATAAAACATACAGTTAAAATATTTCTTTTACACTAAATTTTGTCTTTATTCTAAACACTTGGAAAGGCACGTCTGTTCAGTTCGAAAGAATCTTCTCTAATGAGAAAGGTCAGTGAGGAAAAAATCGTCACATACTCTTGACTTGTGCCTCGAAAAGCGAAACGCAACACGCACGTCGATGGTTTTTATAAATGAAAGAAAACTTTCTCTTTTTGAAAAAAACAAAACAACACTAACTATATAACAATGATCTATATTTACTTATAAATGTTCTAAAAGTATTTAAAAAATATTTTAATCTTGAATATGTATAAAAATACATATATATCTCCTGCATCGAAATTAATGTGAAATATTAGTTTACAAGGTTAAAAAATAATAAAAATTCGACGGTAATTATTTACTTTAGCGATTCCTCACCAATTTCGATGACCTTGAAATATGATGTCAAGGTCACTGTTATGAAGATTTCTTCTTTATACATGTTACCGTCGCTCGGCCTTCGTTTTTGAGATATTTGCAAAAATAATTTTATGTCTAAATTAGCCTCGGGTTGAGTTGGAGATAAAATATTAAACTTTATTCTTTATTATTATTATTATTATTATTGTCGTTATTATTAACAGAAATTGGAAAAATGTCTGCCATTATATAAAAAAATGCAGGTATTCTTATATTAAAATCATGACGACCAACGACAAATAATGTATACCGTGTCAAGCTAATGTCGGATAATATTAATAAAGAAAATTGAAATGGAAGATGAATGCATACTTGGCCGCCTTGCGGCGGTCGGTATAAGAGAATCTAACCTAAACCTAATCCATTATATTAATTACTAGGTAGAATAGTTGGGTTTAAGTAAGGTTTGGGTAAAATTTGTTTATGCCGGCCGCCGTCAGGCGGACAGTTACTCACATCGAGTTTTTAAGCACATCCGTTAAGCTGCGTCCCCACTGGATCGGCACGGCTCGGCATTTGCCGATAGCTGCGTCCCCACTGGGTCGGCACGGCTCGGCATTTGCCGATCGGCACAGCGTTCGGCAAAAGGCGGCACGGCCGTGCCACTGCTATGCACCGCGGCAAAGCCATTTCAGTACACAAAAAATGTACAGTGACGACGAAGTAATAACTGGTGCTGCTGCAGTTATAGTAATAGCAAATGCAAAAAAAATGCCTAAAAAACGAAGATTTTGGATGCGTCCGAGTTTACGTAGCAGAAGAATATACAGGGTGTTCGGCCACCTCTAGCAAAAATTTTAATGAGCGATAGTAGAGGCCAAAATAAGACGAAAATCAAGAATACTAATTTGTTGATGGAGGCTTTGTTAAAAAGTTATTAACGTTTAAAGTTCCTGTATCTTTGTATCTCGATGATGGTTTTGGAACGAAATTGACATGAAACTTTCGTGCTCTCGTGTCTTGGCACGATCTCTTTTGATGGTTACCGACATCGTGCCGATCGACTCGTCGGCATGCCGGTCGGCTTTTCAAGCCATGCTATCCAAGACGATGCAGTGTTTGGCTTTGCCGAGAAGTACTTAGGGTGCCGATCGGCCGTGCTAGATGACAGATGCGGACGCAGTGTAGACGCAATTCTCGGCTTTTGCCGATCGGCCGTGCCGAACGGCAAAAGCCGACCCAGTGGGGACGCGGCTTTATACGCACCCATTGCCGGCCGCCTCGATGTATCTATAGAAACAATAAACAATCGGCAATTCAACGCTTACTCACATGTTGCCACAGTTACGTATGTATAGACAGAATTCATTGTAGTAGCAGCGATCTTTTTGAACAAAAATCTCGGAAACTAAGGCCGAGAGGCGGTTATATGTATAGAAAAAAATCTTCATAACAGCGACCTTGACAACATATTTCAAGGTCATCGAAATTGGTGAGAAATTGCTAAAGTAAGTAATTACCCACCAAAATGAAAAATCTGAAAAAATTGAGAATAATAGTAATAACAATACCTGTATACTGTAAAAATATAAAAGTAGTTCTGCAACTCCTTCAATGCATAATCGGGATTTTTTGGCATTTTTCGCGGATTTTATTTTTTACTACCTGGTTCTTCAATCACAAAATCTGGAAAGCTTCCAAAATATGTGCCCTACTAACCGAAATGTCTCTGAATTTTTTTACATTTTCTTACTCAATAGGACAAAAGAAATTGTGCAAAAACATGATTTTCTTTATCACCCCATTACTACCACCACCGTCGAGATTTCAAGTTGAAAATTGGCACATAGGTTTTCTTTCGATAAGCTATCAAATGACCCCCGCACGTTCATTGCACGTTCAATTTGGTTTGGGGGTACATTTGACCCCCTTATTCGGCTATATCCTTTGCCAGATGCGGAAGACTCGAAAACCTTCGTAACGTAGTAGTCCCGCATCTGGCAACATAAAAGAGTGAAAAAACTCTGATTTGTTTCCGGAACATTATTAGAATTAGACCTTCGCAACGTAGTAGTCCCACATCTGGCAACATAAGAGAGTGAAAAAACTCTTTGATTTGTTTCCGGAACATTATTAGAATTAGAATCAATCGATTTCAATAGACGAAGGGAAATCCCCGTGGATGAAAATAGTAATAATTTAATACACCAGAGCGTGCATGTGGCCAATGCTTTCTTCGGGCTGCGTACTGGAATATAAGTACATATTGTACATAATACATTTTATTATTATTTTAAAAGACATGTGTTATTGAAACCTGCCTGTACATCTGACATTCGTCTACAATATCTTATCGTTTAAATGCCGATAAACGCATCAAGGTGTCTTTATCAGTGTTATCTGTTTGGATTACAATATACAGTAGTGCCCACTTTCTAAGGGCCTTTCTACTTTGTAGGATTAAAAAAATTGAATTTTTGTTTTTTTTTGCGAATTACGAAGAGTCACAAACTTTGTAAAGTAACGTTTCTTGTATATTAAGCGGGAGGAACAGTTCTTCCTATATTGACGCCTTTAAATAAATTACAGTCCACTAAGTGTTAACATGTTATCACATAATAACATATGATAACACGTTTCCCAGAATTAACAAACCGAGGAATAAGCATAGTTCAAATACAGGATTAAGATAAGGAAGGAACATGACTATCTAAGAATGGGACGCGATGGTCTGCAATGCAGTGAAGACTAAATCGAGTTAGCAGAACTCAATCTACCGTCGAACAAAGCGAACGAGCTGTAATCTATAATCGAAGCGAAAATAAAGAAATATCGAGACCAGTCGGTAAAAAATCATTTTCCTCTCTGAAAAACACTTACCTTTGTGTAAGCTGGTGATGAACTTTGTGTAGATTTGTTTCTTGATCGCAGAGTAAAACAAATTAATTGGATTACACTAACTTATGTGCTTAAATATAGAACAAATATGTTACAAGATTAGATGCAAGTTTATGATAAGGTCTCTCTCTCTATTATTGTTTTCGTTCGCCTTCTTGATCGCAACTGCAGATATTCGCGTTATTCGTACTTCAGTTGAAGAGGTTCTCCCCACTGACGGTTCGTGGCTCGCGATATCTGGTATTGACTAGTTTATCGATTATCTCAAATATAGAGGGTGAGTCATCTAACATTTGCACCTCAAATATCTTTGTTGTTTTTAAAGATATGTAAGAAATCCCAAGACTGGCCGTTCCCGGCGAAAAGCTCTAGACCTTGCTCAAGTCATGGTTGGCCATGTGCGCCGGGCCCCATATCTTCGACGACGCAGGGCCATAAACGGAGGGTCCTCGAGGACATTCCAGAGTGCCACCCCCTTAAAGGGGACCTTCTTGGGACAAGGGAAAGTCAGTCTTCACTAACCCTCGCGTTGGATCAGCTCTACGAATTTCATTGTACTACCGTCTTTAAATATAAGTCTTGCAGATATGTCATTTTTTTTAAAGAAATCAAGGTCACCTTCATTTTTTAAAAATATAATCACCCTTTTTGAAACATCTATGTTTAAATATCGCGTTTGTCCGAGACGGAGAAATTCTATCCAAAAAAAATTTTTGAAATTTTTTTTTCAATGTGGTACTTTGCTTATATGCGCCTACATAGGTCGGAAAGTAAAAAATGCCTGGGCAGTCGAAATTCGTGTTTCTGAGATTTCTGTGTTAAGAGCAAGAAGGGGAAAGACTTCTTCTTCTTCTTCTTCTTCTTCTTCTTCTTCTTCTTCTTCTTCTTCTTCTTCTTCTTCTTCTTCTTCTTCTTCTTCTTCTTCTTCTTCTTCTTCTTCTTCTTCTTCTTCTTCTTCTTCTTCTTCTTCTTCTTCTTCTTCTTCTTCTTCTTCTTCTTCTTCTTCTTCTTCCTGTTTTCTCCTCGCTTCGGCAGTCGATTGTATCAATAAAATATTTTAGTATTTTGTTAAAACGCACCCCGACACAATGGAGAATTATTGAAGGAAAATGAATTGATTATATACATATGTATATATCGGACACATCCCTCGCAAACACGCTGCAAACATTAATGAGAACAAAACTGCAAATCTGTCCTTTTTTAAAACCCCGCAACGGATCTTTGACTCGGAACTCGTCCTCTTCATTTAGCAATTATAATAAACGTAGACTCATTAAAATTCGTAAAAATAACAAAGTTATAGCCATTTAGAGGGAAGAGTACCCAACGGTTAATAATCATACCAGAAATTTTAAATGAGTTTTTCTCGAAACCATATTTTCGAAATTGGCTGACATGATATCACAAATTCATATTGATTAATGGATTTGAAATTTATAGAGACATGCCTGTATGTTAGAAATTTTGCCTTTGACGGTTCTGGGGTAAGTCCTGTGCCGTTCCTCTTACCGGAAAGTCCCACGCCTTCCCCACTCCGTGGCCAGATCCTTCAGGACAAAATCTTTATTTTTTCCAGCAGTACGACGTCAGGTCGTCTGCCTCTTTTAACTACTCTCTCTCTCCATTCATAAACAATCAATGCCTCGACACGCGCTACCTGGAGACCCAACGCGGTCGTCCGCTATCGCGTCACCCGTTTCCAGGCCTGTTTAGTCTCATTCGCTCTTTAGGCCGCATGCACCCCAAAACTCTGTCGTAAATGTATCGTAGACTGGGCGTCCTTCACTGGCCCTTACATTCGACTCTCTTGGAAAATACATTGTCGCTAGCGTTTCTGGAAAACAAAAGCCGATCCCCTATTTCGGGGGAATGTCCACGCGTCGCGTCCAACCATTGTTGCCGTGGCGAAATCGACTTTTTTGCCTTCGCCTTCGAGAAAGATTAAGTAAAAGAGTTTCCTTCATTGGAAGAACAAAAATTTTCCAGTCCTTTATTTTCAGTAGGGACGGTGTCAACTTCCATTCATTTTCATATGATTGATTTTAATGAGTCAGCGTTTTTTTAAATTGCTAAACAAAGAGGACAAATAGGACAGTATTCTCAAATATTTTCCGATTTAAAAATTAAAAATTACAGTGAAATTTATTCGGTTGTTTAGACCCAATAGTATTAATAGTATAAATATGTGAACGCACGTCCATTAGCATAGTAAAAAAATGTCTTTTTTTTAATAGTTAAAATATGATCAGGGGGTCCTAAAACGTGTATTTCCGTAAAAAAATTTTTTTTGATAAATCATAGTTAACTGTATTATGTACAATCTATTTCTGTTTGTTAGCGTCAATCCCTTTTTAAGGGGTGGCACGTGTCAGGGTCAATGCATTTGGGGCTTTGACTAGATTCTCAAGAGTATTGTAGGTATCGATACCGGAACCATAAGTCTGTCATCAGACTTCGGCCGAGTGTAGGGGTGAGTGAGAGAGAGTGTGTGTGAGAGAGAGAGAATGAGCGAGCGATGTGCGCGAGCGAGTATAGGCGTTTTGGAATAATGGCGAAGCGGTCAAAACAGATGTCTCACGGAGCGTGACGGGGAGGAAGACCGAAAAATGGCGGTTCGCAGTTGGCTGTTCGTTGTTTCACTCAATTCCCTACATATATTCCAATATGTTTTAGATTCATTTCAAACACTTGAAAAATCATCTTTAGTTTTCTACATTCATCATCAAGCCTTTCTTCTTTGAATGTAGATTAACTTGTTTTATTTCCAATTAATTTATATTTACAGGTATGTCTCTATAAAATTTAAATCCATTAATCAATTTGAATTTTTGATATTATGTCAGCCATTTTCGAAAATATGGTTTCGAGAAAAACTCATTTAAAATTTCTGGTATGATTATTAACCGCTGGGTACTCTTCCCCTTAAATGGCTATAACCTTGTTATTTTTACGAATATTAATGAGTCTACGTTTATTATAATTGCTAAATAAAGAGGACGAGTTGCGAGTCAAAGATCAGTTGCGGTGTGTTTAAAAAAAGGACATTTTCCTTCAATAATTCTCCATTGCAAAAATTCTACAGTATTCTTACATTTTTTTATATTTTAAAATTTTCCCATGTTATTAGAAAGTAGATATACGACAAAAGTTATACAACTTATAGTTCCTAGCATGTATAACATGTATATGTATATAGCGCATGATCGCTTGGTGTGGAAAGTCAACGAATCTTCAAAAAGTGCCCAGATCTGGTTTTGAAAAATGTAAGGGCTGTCAGTCACGATGGCTTTTGTCGTTTACTGACGATTCGAACGGGTGGTGATGCCAGGCCTGCTTTCGAGAAATGTAAGCGACGTCAGCGATGCAAGAGCGAGAAGGAAAGCGAGTATCAGCCTGTTCTTCTCGGCTCTTCCGAAACTCAACGAGCTCACGTACACGCAATTGGGCATAGTGTGCGAAAATGAGGAATGTGGAATTCCTGGGGCCCCCGATGTGCGGTCTAATAACACTGATTTCGAGTCGCAAATACGTTTCTACCGAGTAATTTTTTAAATAAATGATGTATTACAATTTAAAATAAAAAATAGAGAATTTGCGGTGTACGTATCAATGAAATACATCCTTAGGAATTTTAATAATCTTGAAATTTTTAAATACTCTTAATCGATTGATTACTTCCATGAAATTAATCGATTGATGCCCAATTCTGTACCGTACAGCTTTCATTTCGTTAAAAACCATTCAAATTTATGTAATTTCATTTTCTGTCTCACTTCTTCTTGTGTTCATTTGTGTAACCTGTTGGTAATGTTGCGAGTGACACAAAAATGGTAATGGGGCTCTAGAGCCCCAGAAAAATGGGCCGAAAAAATACATTGGATGAAAGGTCTACTCGTATACCTCTGTGATGGAACTTTACTCTTATGTACCTACATAAGTCGGAAAGTAAAAATATCTGGGCAGCCGAGATTTAAAATCTTATGCCGTTGACGCGAGGTCGGTTTCAGTTGTTTCGAGAGTGAGAAGGAAAGGTTTACATTTATCTTCTGAAGTGCATTAGCACTCACTTCGGACATTTTCAGGGAATCGAAAAAGAGGACGAGTGTCAGTTTGTTTTTCTTGACTCTCCGAAGCTCTAAGAGCTCACGTAAGTACACGTGATCTGGCATACTGTACGAAAGTGGAATGAGGAGTACCCGATGCATCGAGTACCTAGTCTGCTAACATTGCTGACCACCTATTCCTATATGTATATGCCCGACGTGTGTAAATTAAGTAATGAGACTGATTTAAAAAAATTTTTGTATTCGAATAGAATTATAATTCAATATTGTCTCCCTCAAAATAACTTCCTTGGGAAGCCACACAGCGCTGGAGACGATTCTTCCAATTCTCATAGCAGTGCTGAAACTCGGATACTGGTATAGCCTTCAGCTAGTCGGTTACAGCCGCTCCAATGTTTTCGAGTGTTCCAAAATGACGTTCTTTGAGGTGATTTTTCAATCTCGGGAAGAGGAAATCTCCTGAGGAGTCACAAGAATATTTTTACTGGCCAAAAACTCATTTACTGAAATTGATGTGTGACAAGATGCATTGTCGTAATGCAACACCCAGTTCTTCTTGATGTTTGGCCTCACACGCATGACCCTTTTTCGAAGTTTTTCTAGAACCTCTCGGTGAAAGTATTGATTGACCGTTTGGCCTTGAGGCACAAACTGTTTGTGGACGATTCCCTGGCTATCGAAAAAGCAAATCAGCATGACTTTTGACTCATTTTTAGAACGCACTATAAAGAACTGTTTTACGAAAACAGTTGCTACGGACAACCAAACGGCTCTAGGGGGTACAAACTTGTATCAAAGGTGTATCTCACGTTCACCTACCATCTCTCCAAGTCTCGCGTCCCAAATGTTGACAGAACGAATGCTATGTTGCCAGTCTCATTACTTAAATTACACACCTCGTATACCTACACTCCTCGACCAACCATTAACTGTTCCGACCAGTGTGGCCAGATCGGGCATAATTGAGTGCATCGAAATCGACAACAGTGACGACGAACTTCCTTAGCGTCTAACGGAATGGTGGGGATAGCTGGCATACACTACCGCACG